TTATAATCATTCTAGAGTAACACAACAGTAACCAAGATGTAAATAAACACGTGTCACATTGTAATATCTATGCACGATAAGTAGTAACTATCGGCTGCCTCGTCATCGTCATCTACACAAATCAAGAAAGACAATCGTAAGGAAATATCGCTGGTGTATGTGAGAGAATCAATGAGCTACGAAAGACCACGTGCTTACGCAGTTTATGCATTGAATTACTATTTTGCACAAACTGCATAACGTAATTGGGCGCGTGAAAACTGACGCACGTGATCTGAGGCGGTAATGTCACACACGCACCACAGTTCACATCACTCATGACTGTGAATTTAATTTCTATCACACGGCCGACGGGAAAAGAATTAACTAAATAGAAAAAACCTCATCAACCGCTGATTTGATATGAAACTTAGTGTATGCTAGCACAAAGGGAGCACTGGAAGGCTGGTTCACTCGCGTTCCTGCTTATCCCAATGAATAGTACTTTTGTATCTCAAACGGGACTCGAACCAACCCACGTTCGGGATAGGAGTCGAAGAATGGAAGACGGGGAAGCAGACCCGTGTTTCAGATTTTGCATGGAATGAACAAGGTTTTGCAAACAGATGCCGTCGACGGACGCACAGTTAGACGGAAACAACAGTTACCCACACATTTGAAGATTGATTTGAGAAAGAAACGCTGTGGTTGGATCCGCTTCCGTTGAAGCGCACCTCAATGGTTTACTGACCACGTTTTTTCTACCCCTCCCCCCTACAACTGACAACTCGTCTTCTCACGCTCTTTGAAAATGAGGCAGACCTCAGTCTTGCATCTTCGGGAGCTCGCTGACGGACGTCGATTTGGTGGGTCTGTGCAGCCGTGTTATTTACGTGAGATATCTAAGCTTGACCCAACTCGATGAGAAAGAAGGGTGACGCACAGTTTCTTGCACGTTACAGCTACAACACAACTGGTAGTAGTTACTCGGACATTGACGATAGATCAACCACTAAAGGATACCACAGTAACTATGACCAAGGACGAGTTCAGCACTTACGGTGTACACTTTTCATACCGTGGATCATGGGCCTATTCGAATAACTACGTTTATTGAGCCGCCGGGGATGGAGTTATTGAGGTGAGCTTTGATGTCTGGGTTGTTCTTCATCAATGGCTTCGCAACCATAACCAGTTATACGTTAACTGTAGCTCACCCATTCCTGGCTTGACCTGTAGAACTGAAAGAAACGGAACGCAGTCGATTCGTTTGATAAAAAGTTACTCGTTGTCAGAAAAAGTGTTGCTTTATCGACAAGTTGCATAACATTACAGCGAACATTTTTTTTCTCGAGCTCGCAGTTCGTAAGCAGACTGAGGGAACGAGTAATGACCACTGAGGAGACACAAGGAATGAAGTGTAGTAATCGTACGGCGGAGATTCAAAATAATTCGACGGAAATGAACATGTTTTCACAAAGGCAGTTACAGTCAATCAGGTAGACTAACTGACATATGACGTACTGTTCGCATCACCCCAATACCTAAGAAAGGGGAAGTTTCAATCTATTACTTCATCCTCAGCACTTCTTCAGACTTTTGAGCGAATTATTATCAGGGCTGTTCTCTCTTCTGTTGATCCTCGTGAGTCTAACCAGTTAGCCTTATTGTAAGCGTCGTTCTTTCGTAGATGTGGTTGCCCTGATTAAACAATTCGCTTGTTATCCATGATCGATCAAAAACACAAGACTGTTCATGTATGGTTGTTAGCTTATACAAACGCTTTTGATTCAATTGATGGAAACACCCTATTGACACCGTTTCAGCAACAAAACCTCCTGTTACACCTGTTGAATTGGATGTACGGCTATTATGCTGACTGGTGCCAGTTGATATGCCTTAATGGTATTAAGTATTCAACTGTTAATGTAAACCAAGGTGTTTTGACACTTAAGTATGCGGGTGAGGTAGTGATTGGCGATGTATCTCAAAACAATCTTCCCATGAACACCCTTCACTCAGCCGGAAGTTCCATTTCCGAACGGTCTACGGGTGTTAGCCTTTCCCTGAACCCAACCAAAAGCACTGAAGTTTTGTTTTCCGTTAACCGCAGGCCAATCACATCCCGGATCGCATGTTTCCAATTACTAATTGCTCCCCGATTTACTTGTAAACGACTACAGACTAACCCCTTAAATTATTATCTTCATGCAGTGGTTTACCTCGCATCAAGCTTATCGAAATAGTTGCTTCGAAACATTTTCAAGGATGGAAAACATTTTGCCCGATCCTCTGCACATTGATTCAAGTAAATTTATACCAACATCAGGCATCCATGTTCACGAACTTCTGCATGCAAATCCGTTACTGTACTTACATCGCTGGGTTCCTCTTCCCACGTGAACGTAGTCACAATGAGCTGCAAAACCCATTCGAATTCACTGTGACTGTGTTTGTCTCGCTTGTTCTCCGTCTTATGTTTTTCTGCTCCAGTTATCTGGCTCCTGCTAAATGTTCAGCGCACACCTACCCCACCACGCATCTCCAACCGCAGGGAGAGGAAAAAACAAACTACTTGACTTGGTCTATGGTTTGGAAAGCCACTGGTGCGGTAGGAACATGTTCGTTTGCTGTACTAGACAGAATTTTACGTTAGAACGCCCAGCAATTATTGTCATTCCTTTCTCTACGGGGACAGAGTTGGAGTTCAATTTTCAACAAGATAATGTCTCAATCATACCGCACACTTTATGAAAACTTGATTATTCTATAACATTCGACTGACCACCCCATAATCTTGATTTAAATCAAACCAGAAGAGAAGACGGAACGATTGCTCCATCCGTTTATCGAAAGGAAACCCGGACAGGCCAGTTGTTACACTTCGAGAGCTTTATGTCCCTGGAGTTTAAATGTCGCCTTGTTCGGACCTGATTTGACAGAAAAACGGGAATCTGCACGGAAGACAGAATTGAACAAGAACTGCAAAACCTTGGGGAGTTGCTAGCAAAAACTGCTTACCGCGAAGCGTTTGTTAATAAGCATAGCAAACCAAGATTTGCGAAAGAACTGCTCTACAAACGACTGAAGTCAGGAATCGCTCGAACCTATTACGCAGCCAACCTCCAAATAGTCTACCGGACAACCAGGATACCGAGACCCATGGCAAAAGAACGTCTGTCTCTGTACGCCAACTCTAATCTAATCCACCAATTCCAATGCCGTTGCGGAGTGACCTACGTGGGCAGAACAGAGCGACAATTACGCAATCGGGTGGTGGAATATATTCCAAATTGGGGCCCCAAATAAGCNTAAGCTGACCCAATCGGAGTCAAGTCCGCTGGATAGAAACAACGGTCGAAACTACAAGACCCCTTCCTCAGCCATTGTTCGACATCTGTTGATGACTCAACACCAGATCGACCGAAGCACAACATTTTGGATTTACAAGCCATGAGTCGCAAGATTGCCAAGGTTTCTGAAGCGACTGCTATTGATCGATGGAGTTCCCCCCTGTGTCAACACAAAGAACTTCATGTTAGTCTATCCCTACCCTGGTGACATGGTCCTTTTACCCCTCCCTCTTTCATGTTCTGTCTGTTTTAATGTATTTTGCTTTATTTTGTTGCCACGCTAAAGCC